TTTGCGAGGGAACGCAAAACTTTGCGAGAGAACGCAAAAACTTAGAAACATATATTTTCCTCCCACCCATTTTTTTCTTTCACCCATTATTTATTTTTTCACCCAGCCAATTTTTTTCTCCTCCACTACGTCCCTTCCGGGGTTCCGTACATTTCTGACACTGTAGAAAAAGTAAAAAAATCATCAGGCACACTGCCACTTTACTTTTCAGATTTATTATGACAACCTTTCAAGCTACATGGTTTTCACATGGTTAAACATTGTTGTAATAAATCTGTTTTTTGGGAGCTGATGTGGCAGTGTGCTGAAATTTTTTATTTTTTTTTTCTATTGTGTTTGGCTTAATCGAGCACCCACCTTCAAGAATCTCCTAGATGTGCACACACTTAAGTCTTTCCTTCTACATTTTTGACACTGACATTTTTTAAAATGTTTTATTCAAAAAAGGCCATTAAATGGTGATAGCATATAGCTAATACTAATAAAAAAACCCAGATTAGAAAACGTTGGGACAGTATGCTAAATGCAAATAAAACAGAAAGTAGTGCTTTCCAAATTTACTTGGACTTGTATCTCATTGCTGACAATACAACAAACTTTATTTTATGTGTTCCTCATGATTTTTATTCTTTAGGTTTGATTCTTGCAACACACACACACACACACACACACACACAAAATAGGCACAAAAGCAATTTACGGCGAGTAATCGGGTAAATTGGTTAAATAATGATGCAATTTGAAATGGGATGTCAACATGTGAATGATTTGGTACAAAAGCAGTATCCAATAAAGGTCTAGTCTTTTAGTAGCATAGATGGGCCTAGGATCACTTGTTAGCCAACAACGAGTTCAGTTATACGAAAATGCATGGTTTTAATAAGGAGGCGTGGCACCTATCCCCACCCCTAAACCCAACCTTCATTGGGGGATAAGCAAGTCATACTAAATTGTATGAATGGGATGTATTCATTTGAATTAGCCACTAAATCAAAAATTTACGAATTGCAGTGAGACCGTGTTGGTTACACACTGGATGGAAAGCAGTTTTTAAAAACCTACTCTTTAATGGGGGCTTTTTAATGCTGAAAAGTACATGGAGATTTTGGAGGACAATGTGCTGCCTTCAAGGAGACATATTTTTCAGGGATGCCCCTGCATATTTCAACAAGACAATGCAATGCCAAATTTTGCTCGCATCACAAAGCCCTGGGTGCAAAGGAAGAGGATAAAGGTACTTGACTGCCCTGCCCGCAGTCCCGACCTATATCAGACCTGTACTGTTGCCACCTTAAGACTTGTAATCAGGAAGAAAGGGACCAAATTACTCCTGAAACACTTCATCACTTGGAGTCTTCTGTCCCTAAATGTCTGAAAAGAGTTGTGAAAAGGATCAGCAACATTACAAAGCGGTAAACGCTTTACTGTTTTGAACTTAAAAAAAAATATTTATTTGTGTGTGCTTCTGTTTTTTATTTGTTTTTGCATGTGTTTCTTTTGAATAAATGTTTTTTGTATTATCTGCAATTAAATACAAGTCAATGTAAATTTGGAAATCACTTCTTTTGTATTTGCGTTTTCCATACTGTCCCAACCTTTTCTGGTTTGGGGTTCTAGATCCGTGGTTTTGCATGTTCTTATGTCATTAACTCGAGAAAAAGCAAAAATGCTTTTAGAGTCTATTTGAAAAGAAATGTGTGTATGTATACTGTGCTCACAGTAATTTTGGAGTAATATAAACACAACTCTCTTTTTCAAATTTCCTTTCAAATAGGATCCAAATTCCAGTGATTTTGAAGCCCACCACAACGTGACACAGGCACAGGCAAAAACAGCTACATTCCCCTATGACCCTAAAATTGCCACTTTCAACAGGGAATTATAAGTGATCTGAAGGGTATTTTGACGTAAAACTTCACAGACACATCTTGTGCAATCTAGTAATAATGACAGAAATATATAAAACATGTTGGTTTAGGTGCTTTCAAATATCAACATTATTTGACCAGAAAAATAAAAAATAAAAATTCATGCAGGCTTGATTTGTCCTTAATATATATTAGGTGCAAGATAATAAAATGTAACCACGTAATACATCCTGCTTCAGTTTGAATAAAATAAGTGCAGTAATGAAATTGTCAGGAATGCACTCAGGACCTAAGATTGGATTAAAGACTAATATTAGAAATTATGTTAATTTCATTGCACAGACAGATTTTTCATTTCATAAGACCTCAGTGTCTTGTCAGGAACCACAGGTATTGATTTAGCCTTGCGTGTACATGCTTTTCACTCTCAAACAGATGGTTACAATTGGCTTGCTTTTTGTATATCATCTAAAATCATGATTTCAGCTGATAATGTTCTTTAATGATGGACTGAAGAAAAAGGTCCTGACCTGACTTTTGTGTGAACTATAGTTTTAAAGAACTACTAACTAGTGTATTTTGACTAAAGAGTTAAGTTTATTTATAAACTAATTTCGAGAGGATCCCATGCTTATGATTGCTTGCATCCAGTCCTGCATTATTCAATTAATAATTCTCCAATCAGACGATTCCTAAGCCACTATAAATACCCTAAGTTGCATTTAACAGCCATCTTTGTTTTGAAGAATTCCCCCCTCCACCCCTACTCCTTCTCATGTCCGAGATGGGGGGCACGGTGGCCCAGTGGTTAGCACTGTTGCCTCACAGCAAGAACAGAACTGGTTCCAGTCCTTACCAAGCCAGCTGATGTTTCTGTGTGAAGTTTACACGTTCTCCCCGTGCTCACGTGGGTTTCACCCAGTTTCCCTGGTTTCCTCCCACCATCCAAAAACATGCAACTTAAGTTAATTGACTTATCCAAATTGGCACGACAGACATGCACCTAGTAGTTATCTCTTAAAGGGGTGGTCCAGAATGTTATTTTTAAGGCTTGGTTGTGTTAATAAGATGCAAAGCAATGTGTGCTCATGTTTAACTTGAAGGAAATCGTGTTATTTTTTCATAAATCTCACTTTGATTATACACAGCTACTCAGCTAACATGAAAACGACTGTCATATTTCCTAGTTCCTCTAAAAGGCCCACCCTCAAGTGACTCTGATTGGTCATCATCATAATATGCTGTGATACGCCGATCGGCTTCACGTCACGCCCTGACAAGCACGCGCGTTTTGTGTAAACAGTCAGTCAGTCAGTCAGTCAGTCAACACGTGTCTGTAACGAGTGAAAATGGGATGCGGCTCCTTTAACTGTTTCTGTGCCTTTTAGTGTGTTTATGCGTGTATACGATGAAGTATTTGTAACACGAGAAGCGCATGTGCGCGGGAGAGATTTTTATTGTTCTTTTTCTCTCATGCTCGGATTAAGTTATTTTCTGTGGTGACAGAATAAAGCACAAGATGTGAGATGAGACCTTTGTGAGCCTGGATTGATTTGTTTTTGATGTTACACTCCAGTTGGGAAATCATTGCTGTATTTTTTTTAAATCAATGCGTTACAGGACGTCTTTCATGCATATGCGGAATATGCCTGTGTAAGTAACATGAATCGTTCACATATCTTTTGCGACTTTATTGTCCGAGTTGTAAAACGCATAGCATAGCTGCCTATAGAGAGAAATTCTGCCGTCTCACACAGATAGACGCAGGTGCTGGCCAAGAGTGCGTGTATGTGTATGTGTGTGTGTGCGTTTACAGCCGTTTGATAAATATGGATTTGTAACGTTAGCTAAGTCGTTAGCGGTTACCATAATTTCCCGTTGTTTACATCTTTGCTACAACACACCGTTAAAGTTAGACACTGTACATGTCATGATCAATTTTAACAAATAAAAACACTTACAGGTCATGACTCAGAGTTCACAGCGTCTCCTTGCTCCATCTTTGAGAAGATTTTAACTGAATCCAGCACTGAACTGGGAGAGATTCTGGAAGCTGTGTTTTGTCAAATCATGCTTGCTATGTATTTTATAGTTCTCTGGAACATAATTAATATTGAACTGTAAGCACTTCTGTGTTTGGGTCGTGTCATTTGGAAGCCCAACAACAGAAACAGAACAGCTCTGTGGAAACAGCAGGATGGCATTTCTCTCTCTGCAGTAACGTTACAGCGCCTCTGGCCACGGCCTTTACCTGCGCAGTGTGGGATGCGCAATAACGAACTTTTGTGATCTCACAGGGGGCGGAAGTATTTTTTGTAGTCCCCAAAATTCGTTAATTGTAGGCGTTGCTAAGCTAACTCTGTACAAATCAAGGTCTCCCTTTGCATTAAACTTTGAATATTTTACATTCAGAGATGCTGTTTATGTTCACACAGATACATTACACATCAACTGAAGTTTAAAATATAATATCGTAGTGGACCACCCCTTTAAGAGCAATCAATATCTGTTCATTAGCTACTACAGCAGGGGAGTTCTCGAGACCTGAGCTCAAACAGGAGTGAGCCCCGGGCTCGAGGATCTTATGCTCAGGGCTCTCTCCTGAGACAGCATGCCAAACAAGCTTTATAATCAGTCATCAGCTAGGTGTGAACTCTTGAAAGTGCCATTTTGTGATTTAGATTTGTCAGACAGCTTTTTTTTTTTTTTTGCATTGGTTGGCTGATTTTCCACCCCAGATCTAATGACACACAAATTAAAACAGTCTAAATCTAAAAAGATTTTTTTTTATTTTTGTCATTTCCTTCTTTTATCTTCTGCTTGACAGCTTCAACCACTAACTTTTTTTGCTGCCATTTCCAGGTGAGATTTGCTCACCACTGTGAAACTGCATTTGAGCCATTAGTTCTGCTCTGAATGTTCATTGTGAAGCTGGACCGTTAACACAGTCGCCACAAGCTATTTCAAAGCTGCTTTTAAAATACTGAATTGCTGTTGATTGCAAAGCAGCACTTATAATTTCTGTAGTGACGAAAGCATCCAGTGGGGGGCCTTCAGCGAATGTGGAACACTGGACCTACATATCCTTATTTAGAGAGAGAGTGAGACTGAAAGAATGTGTGTGAGGCAGAGAGAGAGAGAGAAGGAAAAACAGGGATAGAAATGAGAAAGACCTTGCCAAGGAGGGAGGGCAAAAGGAAGAGGACAGTAATGAAAATCAAAGGGAAAAGAAAAACTTGTGGGGGGCGGGAGATGGGTCGTGTGGCTAAGGTTCTTCACACCAACTTATAGACAAGTTCTCATCTGGTTGATAAAGTCAAATCCGTTTATGACTGGCGAAAGAGAGTATAATACTTTCAAAATACAATCCAATGTTCTTTTCTTTTGTGGGAACTGATGCATGTGCTCTGTTTTCTGTGATTGGGAAGATTAAGAGCAGCCTTGCCGAGGATAATTGAAGGAGATGGATAAAAATGAGTCCACATCAGAGGGTCTCGAACAGCGCTGACCTTCAAACTACCAGAGGTGGAGTGGGAACCAGGCCTGCAGAGGAAAAGGTGAATTTACAGCAGTGATTGGTGTTTGAGCATGGATGTGTGTGCTTAACAGCTGAATGAACATAAGGTCTTCTGGAATTAACCCTTAAATCTGAGTGTAAGTGAAATGTATGTGACGTTTACTTAAACCACTGAATACATTTAGTGGTAGTGCGCGCTTTTAATATTACCTGCTAATATTTTCAAGCCTGTTAGTTAAAAATAGCCTCTGGTTTCTGGAGGTAATTGCATATGTCAGTGTAAATGATTTACTTAAAGAGCTTCCATCAGAGTGATTTAAGAGAAAACTTGTCTGCAGTTCAGAAAGATTATTTCAATTTACATTGAAAATGGTGGAAAAGTCATTTAATAAATCTCTTTTTGGCCTGTATCGGATTTTCCGGCAGTGTTTCTTTGGCAGCTCTAGTTTCCCCCACAAGTCCAAAGACATGCGCTATAGGTGAATTGAACAAACTTAATTGGTCATGGTGTATGTTTGTGAATGAGAGTGTGTGGGTGTTTTACAGTGTTGGGTTGTGGCTGGAAGGGTATCCACTGTGTAAAACTTATGCTGGATAAGTTGGTGGTTCATTCCGCTGTGGCGACCCCTGATTTATAAAGGGACTAAGCCAAAAAGAAAATAAAGGATTGAATGAAATCTACAATTATCTGACTAAATATCTATTTTTAGATGGATAAATGGATTAGTTGATTATGCTGGAGGTTGGTTTTAAAGAAGTGGTCAGTCAGCTATTTGTGTATATGGTGCATATTCATTTGTTTCTTCCACAAATTTTACATTTATCCAATGCGGTTACTGTCGTCTGTTGACGTCCAGGTTCTGTGAAACCCCTCCCACTGAATATGCAATGTGCACTGATTGGTCAGCTTGCCCACTGTGTTATGTTTCACTAAAGGTCTGGTGCACATTTTCCAGAAATGTCATGCCTGTATTCCTTAAGGTAAATATTAAGGTTTGTGATGTCACAAACCCAGTATGACATTCATTGTTGTCCCTACCAGCTGTTTGTTGTTGGCCTTAAAGTGGAAGTGAAGCAGTCAGCCATGTTTTGATTTCGACTTTAATGAAAACATTTTAAACAAACTTGATTAATGAAATCATTTAACAGAAAATTCCATGTTTTACTATCGCAGGGGTGGCCAACCCTGTTCCTGGAGAGCTACCTTCCTGCAGATATCAGTTGCAACCCATATCAAACACACCTGCCTGTAATTATCACGTGGTGTTCAGGTCCTAATTAATTGGTTCAGGTGTGTTTGATATGGGTAGCAACTGAAATCTGCAGGAAGGGGGCTCTTCAGGAACAGGGTTGGCCACCCCTGTACTATCGCTTTTAGAATATGTCTGACTTGAGTTGGTTCCGTTTCCTCAGCTGAACAGATACATTGGAAGAAATGGACTGAACAGGGAGACTGCAAAGCCTAATTTAACACAATACGTGAAGTTGTGGGTTTGGAGCTGGTGCAAATACAAGCATCAGATGTGTCAAATATTAAAAAAAATATTATTCCTAAAATATATTATTATATTTTTCTTTTTCCCTTTTAATTAACGATTGTTTGATGTGATTTGGTCCACTCTCTCTATTGTGTTACCTGACTGCCTGTCTGGGTTTCAACCATGGTTTCAACAAGGTCCAGTAATGGAGGCAGGTACTTTCACTTTTCACTACTACAGTACATCTCTGTTCGTGTTCAAATCATACAAAGATTGGCGCGATTTTTCACATGGCAGGTTTTCATGTCCTTCATACATGTTGATAGATGGAGTTGATAAGAGTATATGTTTGACATAATCCACAAAGACGTGATTTAGTAAAGTGTGAAGTCATGTATGATTTTAGTTGCATTAGTCTGAATGTAAATCTTCTCGTCTGGCAGTGCTGGAGCAGTGCGAGAGAGTGGACCGAATTAAGTCAAATGAAAGGTATTTAAAAAGAGAAAAATAGAAAAGGTGTAAATATTTTTGTAAATATTGGACACAACTTTGATGCTTTTATTTGCACCAGCTCTGCGATGCACATACACAACTTCACGAATTGGGTTAAATTATGTTTTTCAATCTCCGTGTTCAGTCCATTACATCCACTGTGTCTGTTCAACTAAGCGAACGGAACCAACCTGATGACATTAGACACAAAGACATTGCAAGATGGTTGCCCTAACGCCAAACACTATAGTTAAACATGCCCTTTTCTTCAGTATGGTTAAATTAATGATATTTTCATTAAAGTGAAAACCAATTTACAAAATAATGCAAACTGGACTGAGTGCTTCACTTCCACTTTAAAAAGCCAGTAATATAAAAGAAAATGTTTCCCTTTGCATGACTGTACTTTGAACATCACAACTTTGAAGATGCTGTTTTATCTTCAAACAGCATCATTACACTTTAGTGAAATCAAATTAGAGGACTTCAATACTGGCATGTGTTCTAATGTGATGAGAAACAATATTGCATTTTAGAACTTTTTTTTACTTCCAAAAGTTGAAAGACAGAAAGAAAATATTTACCTTATTCCTCACGTACGAGCGGTCGCAGCCATTTAAATCTTCTTGGCTGGAGACTTCCGGTCTCATTCACTTCCATTCATTTTTAGAGGTTAAAACGGCTCATTATGCTGCTTGATGTTGCAAACTTATAATTTCTTATTATATTATTCTGCTTCGTCTGCATAGTCATGAGCACACTTGTTTGTAGAGCAAGTAGTTTGACCATTTTCTGACGTAATTAATCATTTCTCCCATAGGTGACTGAATCGGAAGTTCAAAAACATTTGCAAAAACGAGCGCACTTCTGCATTGAAGAATGCGGTCAATAGACCTTAGATGGCCTTACAGTAAATGCTACTACTTTGTTGTTAAAGCTAATAGAGGTAGTAATGTTAATGTTCCCCTCAAAATGGAAATTGTATTCATTTGCTTATCCTATGTCATTCCAAACCCATACAATTTATTTTGTTCATACACAGTGTAAGATGTTTTTAAATGAAATCAGAGATTTTTCACTGTCCATTAAGAGACACTTTCTGATTAAGATCTTAGACATAAACAGAAAGAAATGCCTGCCTTAAGCTGAATAAACTTTACTGGTTCTTGTGTCAAGCAAGCATTTTTTAACTTTGAAGTGTATACATAGGAACAATCCCAGCATTATGGATGCAACATTTGCAGTAAGATTTCAAAACAAGTTCACATAGAAAGTATATGTTAACTTTATATTGAAACATCGGTTTATAATTTTTTAAAACAACGCACCACACAGTTTTTGAGGTAGAAAAATATCAAGCTGTAAACATTTTTTATATTTTAATTGAGGAAATTAAACATGCATTATTTATGTGACCAAACAAGCCAGTTTACAGTATAAAATATATTTTGTAGAAATTCTGTGAATTAAACTGCACAACCCAAAATAAACAAAGCTAATCAAAAGGAGAAGAGTTGCTTTCTATAGAATAAAAATGACAGATTTTATTTAACATTTTAACATTTATGAAGAAAAAGCTTGGATATGGATGCAACTCCTCTCTGTTATGGATGTGATGAATGTAAAAGTGCCACTTGTATGACTTTGGTCAATCAAATATAACAGTTTGAAAACATTGACAGAGAGTTTTTTCAAGCCTACTCAAAAAAATACTTGACATTTGCATGGAATCGCTCATGAGTCACAACTCATAAATCTAAGATTAAACTATTGAACTATCACTATCAAATCTGTTGACTTTATAGAATCTTTGTGAGATTCTATAAGAAGACTTCTTAATTTATATAATTCATATGGTCTATACTTAGTGATGGATTTTCTTATGGAATGCAGAATGACAACCACACAAATGTTTTTCTCTGCCACAAGGTCTCTGCTTTCTATGCATACCCATTTCATGTTTTGTTATTCTTCTTTAAAGAGCATCTGTTCATCTGCAGTATGTCTCCAAACTGTTCCCTGTCATCATTAGAATTCAGTGCATTTCAGATATTTAACAGATGTCATGGTGATGCAGTATGTACAGTATGTTACTGGGATACCATGTCTGATACAGACTCAACACAGCGTGGGAAATAATTTTTATTATTATTGGATATTATGAGATAAATTTGAGGCTTAGTTCGAGCTCCTTATGGATTTGTACAAAGTCATGAAATAATTCTTGTTAGTTATTCTGTATAGGGATGAATTGAGCCATCCAGAATGATAGACTAATCTGCATTGGATTTAAAAGAAATAAAGCTTAGCTGCTACTAAGATAATGGTAGCATACCCCAGCAGACCTGCTGAGCAAAACGTGAGACACAATGAAATGTTTTTTTTAAATTTACATTGGAGAAGGATACTTGTAGGATTGCTAAAATGTGTATTGAATTCTAATATATACCTGAATAGGTTTCCATTAAAATCCTCTTTAAGTGGCTCCACATAATAGTAAACAATTCCAAATTTTTAATAAAATTCTGTTTTTGAGCCCTATATAGGACGCAAATTAGAATTCTTTAGAATTATTTGACAAGGGTAGTGAGGAATGGTTGCATTATATAAATTGTTTTACTTGATTTGCCCACAACTGGACTAGACTTTCTGCTATGTTCTGCAAAGGCTTAATTGTGCTGGATGGATGGCCAAACAGAAGAGCACTGCAGTAATCCAGTCTAGTGATTATAAGAGCTTAGAGGAGTAGCTGTGTATTCTATTAGGAAAGAGTGGGTTTTTACAATGCTATATTGCACTAACCTTCAAAGCAGTGCTGTTGTTCAAATGCTTGTCAAACATTTGTCTCTGTTTCTTACAGTTTTGGTAAGAGGAGCACAATGCTCCTGCCATGCACAATAATGCCTAATGGTTTGAAACACAGAATTGTAATCTGAAAACAGAGGCAGATTTGGTGATTTGGTGGCAATTTCAGCCATGGGGCCAAACATTTGTACTTTAATTTATTCTTAATTGATTTATGGTGCTTTTTTTCTTATATCACTCAATCTCCTTTTCTATATTTTGTCTGATTGCAAAATAAAAACAAGAATCTCGTGAAACTTTTTAAATGATTTGCTTAATCATTTCACAACTAAAATAATAAATAAACTATTTTTAATAGTTTTGGTCACGTTTTAATTCAATATGTAACATTTTCCATTATGTTTTTAAAACGAAATCTTTACCTAATTTGACTGCTGGACTTGAGGACACATTTGCGCAGAAGTAATACAAATTAAACTTTTTTTTTGAATCTCTCCTAATACAAAATATGATAGAAAATTATGTTATATATAATTTATTGGTATAATTTCTACTTCTAGGTAGGGCTGTGCGATTTGGGGAAAAATATCTCATTGCGATTTTTCTGACAGATATTGCGATTTCATTTACGATTTTATTTTGTAGTCAAACTTCAGGTCAATGATCTGTACAACCGTACTTCTAGGTACTCATTTGGGGGCCCTCAGATTTTCCGGGGCCCCAAGCAGCTGCTTACCTTGCTTATTGGTTATATCCGTCCCTGCCTGAAGGTTGGGGTTTTAGCCTCAAATCCGGAAGGGATTGTAGGTGGGGGAGGGAATAACCTGTTTTCTCTTTCACACTCCCTATCAGTATCTTGAGCAAGGCTTCAAACCCCCAACTGCTTTCCTTGTGCTGCAGTATATGTGGCTCCCGAGTGTATTTTCACTATTGTGTGTGCATTTAAATTGGTTAAATGCAAAGCACATGTTCCCAGTATGGATGACCATACTTGTCACTTCATTGCGTGGTCTTGCATGCACAATGAGGGTATAGTCAAACAACGGATTTTCAAGGATTAGTAGGAGCTCTTTCTTTACAAACTGAGCTGAATATGATGGTTCTTAATCAAAGCTGAGATGGGCAGAAATACTAAAGACTAAAATGACACATGTACACATTGTACGGCCATCTTTCTCATGTTTTTGCTATTTTTAAGAGCACATGTTCTTTAGCAGAATGTTTGCAGTTTGTGTGTGGTCACAATAGGATTGAAGTGCTTTTCAGATTTTTATGTTGTGATGACAGAGAAGTGTGCCTACCAGGATACAATGTAGGATACAGACTCAACAGAGGCAGATATGCGACCTGAGAGAGTGTGTTCATCAGGTGCTGTCTAAATGAAAGATTTGTATCATTTTTATATACTTTATGATTTTGCCCTGTGAGGATGTGTAAATGAAATAAAGAAAGGATACAAGCACAGAACCTTGCTGAACCCCTGTGATTAGCTCAGTTTTTCCCAGCCCTGTTTGTGCACACTATCAGCATTGCAATTTTTTGGATGTCTGCCTTATCTCACCCATTCATTTAGGTCTTTCCAAGCTGATTAATAGAATCAGGCTGTCTTTGATTTGGACAGGTTTGAAAAGGTGTTTGTGTGGCTCCAGGAACAGGTTTGGGAAACATTGGATTCATTAGATTAGGTTGTGACTCAGTCACCCCTCCTCTCCATAAAGCCTTGAGATCTTCCAATAAGAATGGGCTCAAGTCACAGGATTACCATACTGATGGCGATTAAAGTAAGGGTGAAAAAATGAACAAACTAACAAATAAATAAAAATGTTGAATAACAAGCTCTGCCATCTCCTCCGCCATGAAGGGACGGAAAGGTCAGGGAGTCTTTCACACCAGATGTCACACGAAAGAAGATTATCTGAAAGATATGAATAGTTTTCCTCTGGACTGATGGTTGCTATAGCTACAGCATAAATGTTGTTTTTCATCTGCCATTTATTACTTTGTTTTTTCTGATGTACTTGTGGGTTTGGTAATTTTCAGTTATGTTATTATGTGTAAATGTAATTTGTGTGCAAATGTGTTTGTTTTATTTGTAGAAGATGAAATCTACAATTCCAAGAAGAAAAACGGCCGTTATTAAAGCTTTCAGCAAAACCAAACCAAGGTACATGCACAAAACATACAGAGAAACACACACAGGCGTCATATCAGGGGTATTTGGTTCTTTTCTTTTTGCAGAGGATATTTTTTTCTCACTTTATATTAAATAACCCTAACTACTATGCATGAACAGTGCATCAACAATAAGTCCAATGAGCTTATTGTGTTCATAATGTACTGAGGTAGGTTTAAGGGATGGGTCAACAATGTAATTATAAATGTAATTACACGCAGAAAGAAATGACAAAAGTAATTACATCCAGATCAAATTTAAAATAAAGGTACACCGTTAAAACATACATACACACACACACACACACACACACACACACACACACACACACACACACACACACACACACACACACACACACACACACAGCTTGCATCTGATCAGTCCCTTCCACTGGTTTCTTCTTTAATTGTCTACGGACTGAAAAATCAATGAATATCACCTGCTTTTTTCTTGTTAGGCTTAGGTGCACTGTCCCCATAGTTAAGTGTGTGTGTGTGTGTGTGTGTGTGTGTGTGTGTGTGTCTGTATGTGTCTGTGTGTGTCTAGCTGATTTAAATCTATAGTAAATGGTATTTTAATTAACAGAACTTTCTGTTGCCCTCTGTGCTTGTATGTGTGTATCTGAGGTCTGTCAGGTCAAATATTATTCCAGTTGCCACTTTCATAGTTATTTGCAGGGCTCATTCAATAAAAACATTTAATCAGAGAGTCAAAGAATGTTTCAGACTCTGTGGGCCGAAGTCTACGCACCACTGTCGTGCCTGTAAATGCTGACATTTCAAGGAAAGGGGTCATTTTTTATGTCTAGTTGCATCTGTGTGCTTGTCTGATCAATAAGATTCTAGAAAAAGTACTGTCTGAGGTGTCTCTTTAGTTATATGTCTACTTTTTATCACTCTCACATATTGCAGATTTTTTTAGGGATAATATGTTTTTTTTTTAGCCTTATGTCATATCAAACTTTATGACTTGGTTTCTTCTGTGACTATGTGACTTGGTTTCTTACATGGCTTACATTGGCTTATCTCTCTTCTGTGCTATACAGAAGAAAATGTTATGACGAATGTTGGTAACTAAACCATTACGGTTACGGAAGAAAAAACAAGAAAATAAAAACATAGTCTCAGGGAATGTACCAACCCACATGCTTCTACATGTTTTGTTTATGTTACACGGAAGACAAGACAAAACGATGTACAGTAGAAGATTGCTGGAAGCCAAGCTATTTGGAAACCATTGTCTTCCATTGTGTGAACTGAAAATAAATGATTTCTGCAAAACTGTTGTAATGTTCAACTTAACTTGTTTTTTTTTATTCAGCCCAAATGAATTATTTACATCCTCACACCTTAAAAAATAGAGTAAATTCAATGAATCACCTTTGAATATTTTTTTTCAGTGTGGACAATACGCTTCAAATAGCCTATTTTAGTTCCACAGAAGAACAAAAACTATACAGTATGTAGCTGTGGCATAGTGAGTATTCGGAAAGACTCTATCATACAGAAAGACCCTATCATACACACATTTACCCCAGTTTGCCATGATGTGTGTTTTCAGACCAGTGAAACCTTAATTTTCCTGTTTTCTGCCACGTTGTTTTTACACAAATACACAAATATCTTAACAAATGAAAAAATTAAAAGATTATAATATTACAAAAATTATTAGTTTTCTACATAAATATAAAAAACACTGCCTCCATGTTTTCATCTTGGGAGGTCTTTTTTCAGTTTATTCACAAAACTTGCTTTTGTATAATGTTATTATTGTTAGCATTATTATTTATTATATGCATATTTATATTTGTTTTATTAAAAACCAGCTTAGATTTGCCCACCTGTCAGGTTTTGGACCATATGGGGCACAGGATGTGTGTTTGGATATAATTCCAAAAAGTGTTTTTTGACCACTCTTTGTTGTTACTGTTCATTTATTTTTTGATAGAAATTGAAAATTGAAACTAAATTCAGAAATAGATTTGAAACAAATCTTTGCTCATTCTTTGTCCATGTGCTGCAGATGGTCTGTTTAACTGTTTTCTCGCTTGTGAACCGTTCAGTTTTTCCACTTACAAAGTCCGATGTGTAAATAGCAAATGCATCATAGTGTGACTCTTAAAGGGAATGAGAGATGAGTCTCTGATTAGTTTTTTTTTTCAAAACACACCCATATCTCATTAAGAGAATAAGCACAACCCTGTTAGACCATGCGCCGGGGTGCAGAGCGTATTTTTTCTGTCCCTAAAATAGCAAAAGTGGATTCGGACACACCCTAAATGCTTTTTCGCTTAGACTTTGCGCCTAGATCGTTAAAATAGAGCACATTATGTCACTGTTCATTTAGTACGTTTTTTATTTTGTAGTCTGTGTGTGATTTTATAGTTTTGACCATAACCAATATCATTGTTTAAAAACCCATTCCATAGATTTCCATTGTTTATGTAGTGTATAGGAGAGTGGAGACAAAAGTAACGGGGGATGAAAGTAACAAAGTTATTTTCTCAAAGCCCTGAAAACATTTGCTTTTCAGGCTATAACAACACATTCAGCATGCAACTCTTGATAGAGCTGCCAAAAATCTGCCGATTTTTCTTTTTTTTTTCTTTCTGGTTTTTAAGTGCAGAATGTAAATTATTGCAGGTCTTTTTTTCTTACTACAAGTTGTGTTTCTTTTTTCATGCTTCACAGTAATGATCAATCTACAAGTTATTTTGTGCAATAACACATTCTTTTTTTTCAGTTTGCTATCTATGACTTTTTAGTTTAAAAGTAACTCAGGTTTAAATGACAAGAGTTCCAGAGGGGATGAAAAAAACACTATCATTTATATCTGTCTGCTATTAGACAAACCTTATTTTTCACTTCCACATTACAGTTTTCAGGGTATTGATTAATTTGTTTTAGTTAATTAATGCATATTGCCAAAAATAATAAAAAATATTTAACAATTGTAGAAAATGTTTACATTGTTGGATTGCTTTTGAAACATTTTGATAGAACTGAAATTTTAGATAAAAATGCAGCTTAATATTTTTTTAAATAATAAAGGACCAAACATGCCTGCATTTAAAATTTACAGGGTCATAGTCAGATATTTTTCAAATCAACAAGATTAAGCCAGTCAATTTAGAAAATATTGTTGTGTTACTTTTGTCTCTACTTTCGGTGACAGAAATAACATTGTGCAATTTATGTTTGAGGTAAAATTATTTTGAAGTTGTGCTACATTTTTTTAAGATGATAGACCACACTTAATTAGTAACCACAGCTAAATTTATATATAAAACATTATCTTTTGTCCTCGCTCTTCCCTACAAACTGTAGGTTCTATTGCCATACTCTACACCTAACACTACAGAAAACCTTGTACAGTTTTATTTTTTACAGTTTTATTTATTTTAACAAAAACTAGTTATTTATGAATTGTAGGCCTTTTGATAAATGGTGAAATCAGCAATGTCCTCATAACTTAACTTCTCCATGTAATAGCTGAGTCATTCCTATGTCACTATACATATTTGTATGTTGATATGTCATAACACACACACACACACACACACACACACACACACACGCACACACACACACACACGCACACACACACACACACACACACACACACACACACACACACACACACACACACACACACACACACACACACACAGAGCTTCTATCTAATCAGTCCGTTGGTACTAGCTAGAAGACACACTCTGCCTTATATAGGCAGGAATGCAACACACACACATACACACACACATAACAGGAAAGCTGGCAACATGCGTCATTCAGATTAAGAGCAAGAAGAGAGAGTGTGTGAGAGGGAGTGAGAGAGGAAGACAGGCAAGATGCCAAGGCACAATGATCATTAAATACAACGGAAAACATTAATACAGTGGAAAAATGTGTATTTAGTTTGAGCATTCATGCCACTTTAGTCTTATGTGTTTACTTTACACGGGTATTTTAATAACTTATACTGCACAGAATGAATATTTACATTTACGTTGGATCTATTCCAACACATACACTCATGGCCACTTTATTAGGTACACCTTACTAGTACCGGATTGGCCCCCCTTTTGTCTTGAGAACTGCCTTAGTCCTTTGTGGCATAGATTCAACAAGGTACTGGAAATTGGTCCATTGTGGCATGATACCATCACGCAGTTGCCTCAGATTTGATGGCTGCACATTCATGATGTGAATCTCTCGGTCACATCACAAAGGTGCTCTATTGGATTGAGATCTAGTGACTGTGGAGGCCATTTGAGTACAGTGAACTTATTGTCATGTTCAAGAAACCAGTCTGAGATGATTTGCGCTCTATGACATGATGTGTTATCATGCTGAAAGTAGCCATCAGGAGATGGGTACACTGCAGTCATAAAGGGATGGACATGGTCAGCAACAATACTCAGGTAGGCTGTGGCGTTGACACAATGCTCAATTGGTACTAATGGGTCCAAAGTGTGTCGAGAAAATATCCCCCACACCATTACACCACCAGCAGCAGCCTGAACCAATGATACAAGGCAGGCTGGATCCATACTTTCCTGTTGTTGACACTAAATTCTGACTCTACCATCCGAATGTCGCAGCAGAAATCAGCGACTCATCAGACCAGGCAACGTTTTTCCAATCTTCTATTGTCTAATTTTGGTGAGCCTGTGCAAATTGTTGCCTCAGTTTCCTGTTCTTAGCTGACAGGAGTGGTACCCGGTGTGGTCTTCTGCTGCTGTAGCCCATTCACCTCAAGGTTGGATGCGTTGTCTGTTAAGTGATGTTCTTCTGCACTTCTCAATTGTGAGGTGATTATTTAAGATATTGTTGCCTTTCTATCAGCTGGAACCAGTCTGGCCATTCTCCTCTGACCTCTGGCATCAACAAGGCAGTTACGCCCACAAAACTGCTACTTACTAGATATTTTCTCTTTTTTGGACCATTCTCTGTAAACCCTAGAGATGGTTGTGCATCCTAGAAGAT